ACCTGCCCATGAGCAGGGGGTGTGAACCTTCATTCAGAGGACTCTGCAATCCCACAACCCCAAAAAAATCCTGCAGGACTCCAACCACGGACAGAAGGAAAAGCCTCACAGACGATGCCAAAAATCCAAGAGCAGAGGTGCTGGGAGCTTTGCTGAGACACTTTGCAGTGTGAGCCCCGCACCTGGTGCATTATTTAGTGCCAAGTGAGAGAAAAGCAACGCCTAAGGAAGTGTTAAAGGGCTTTGAGAAGTTTCACCAACCTTCCCTGAGCCGTCAGCTCCCGCTGCCTGGCAGAAGAGACAAGTGATCCTGCTTCCAGATTACAGCAGCACAGCTCTCAGGGCAACTGTCTCTCTGTGTTTGCATCCAGCCACCTCCAGCAGCTTGAAGCGTGCTCCAAGTGCAAGGAAGCACTTGATCAAAATCCAGCTCGCTCTGTAGACAGCGAGGAGCAGGCACCCAAGGCGTTACAGATACAATAAAAATGGAATTTTGGGAGGGGGGGGATGGGGTTTGACAGGTTACAGGTTGATGACACTGCTGCAGCCTCGGTGGAAATGTGGATTGATGCAATTAGCAACAGGGAACTAGAAACTCAGCCGAGGAAAAGTGGGAATACATCTATAAAAGATGAGCTGCTGCACTATTGTAGAGAAGCACAAAAGTCCTGTGTGAGCTCAGAATGAGTTGAAACACGAGTGAGATGGGGGAAACGCAGTTCCAAACTCCCTGCCAGCGTTCAGAAGTGCAGATCCAGATTTTAAACTCAAACTTTGCTTCCCCCAGAGAGGCTGGCCCAGTTTGCCATGGGGATACAGAGTGGGGTGTCCCGGAGAGATGGGCAGCAGAAGGCAAAATCCTGAGCCCAGCCAGGCCCTGCTTGGCTGCCAGGGAGTAAAAACCACGTGGAGAAGATGATGGAGAGCATGGCAAGATGCAGAAGCAGTGGATGGGACTCTGCCAAGGTGCTGGCTGTGCTGCAGGACCAAAAGGAGCCTCCCTGTGCAGCCACAGGGCAGCCCCTGCCCAGCCCAGAGCTGGGAAAGCCTCGGGGCCAGGGCTGCAGGGATGGGCTCAGGCTGGCACCAGGGTCCCCAGCCCGGGCTGACACCTGCTGAAGGTGACAGGAATGAGGGATTTGTCTTTCCAAACAAGCTGTGGGTCTGCTGGTAGGTCAAACATAAAAGAAACAACGGGATGGATTCCATTGGCTGATGAATGGAAAAAGATATTTGCCTTTACAAACAAACTGTAGGTTTGCTGATAAATGAGACTGGATATTGAAAGGTGAAATTGGATAGCAAAAGATGAAAGAAGCAATGGGGAAAAATTATGAATTCTGTAAGAATTAACAATTAAAAGGGAGGGTTATACATTAGAGGGGAATTTCAGGTATCAGGGGTTTGGGAATTCTGGACCTCTCCAGTACCTCAGCCCATGGGGAAAGAGAGAGGGAAATTGGGATAAAAAGGGAGGTGAGTGCTCCAAAAATCTGAGAGACCCCAGGGGAATGTCCCATGGCCTCTCCCTTTATTCAATAAAGTAAAAGGACTCCTCTGTCTCCTTTTTGGACATGAACCTCTGGTGTCGGTGGATGAATTTTCCTGACAAAGGTGTGAGTGCCAACCCTCAGGGAGATTTCACTGCAGAGGAACCCCCAGGAGACACAAGCCCAGGAGACACAAGCCCAGGCTGGCAGCAGGAGAGCAAGGCAGGCTCCTCTTTGTGCCACATCCCCAGTGCTGGGACCTGCAGCAGGCAGAGCATGAGGCAGGACACCAGGGAAGTCTTTACAAAAGGAACCAGAATTATCTCCTCTGTGAATCCTGACAAGCACCAGCCCTTCACTGCATGTGCCCAACATGGAACAACTACAAAACCAAAGTGGAATAAGGCACCTGAGCAGTGGAGAAGGAGAACAAACCCTGCAATGAGGTTTCTAATGATTGCAAGTGTGTACATGTTCTGCTCCAACAAAGCTGGTGGGGATCTGCCAGGCTGAATAATGAGCAGGGACACCACATGCCTGCCATACATAATGGGGCAGAAATGGAATATAAGTGTACACTGCAGCTCTGTGGAAAGCAGGGGCTTTTGTAGCCATTCATGTTAGACAAAGATTTACATTTGCAAAAGTCATTCTGCTATATCTGGC